CAAGATTGCGATGATCTTGGCGAGATACCTTTTCTTTTTTTCGTTATTTCCACACTTCCATCTTTCTCTGTTTTCCGTTCTACAATTATATCCATCTTCCGTTTCCCCCACCTTTCCCGTAGTCAAACTACGAGAGCTCTGGTTTCTCATTCTCGAATGAATGAGCATACATAGGCACAAGGGCCTCAATCCTTTGCGAGCACCCTATCCTATAACCACCCATTTCTCGTTTGTGTCTTTATCCTTTTATCCTACCAATTCACATTTATCATTGAGAAGAAAACAAGAAAGCTTAGATAACATTCAACGCAAATCGTACTAAGAGGTTCCTGTTGAGTAGAATGGACGTGGGGGGTGCTAATGTCTTCCCCTTGCGTAACCGACTCCCGAACCCGAAACATTGATTGTGATGATCGTGTTCCTGTCCTTTCGTTTTAAAAAGGTTTTCTCGATATTTTCCTTTCCCGTCTCTACGGGATAAATAAAGTTCGGTGGCGACTCTGTTGAACCGTATTTCCGCGCCTTTTGCGCGAGGGTCGTATGATCGAATGATTCTTCGAGGTGCGACACACGCTCGCCTCCTAAAAGCCTTAAGGCTTCCTTGGTGGAACAACGCTCGATGAGCGCCTTGGTATTGATTAGTCGGGCTTCAAAAGCAACCTCCTTATCCTCGTTACAGATGAAGCTCCCATCCTTGTTCACGCACTTGGCGGGTGCGAAGTTATTAACGAATGCCAGATCTTCTCGTAAGCAAGCTGATCCTCAGCATCCAACTCGTTGGGCTTCATGAGGTAGTGGTTTGTCCCTTTGTCGAAGTGGACCCTCTTCTACTCGAGGGGAAACTTTGACTCTAACTTCTCCACCTCCTGCCCATCCACATGCTCAACCATGTGTTCGAATAAGGAATCGACGACGACGTGCGATAAAAGGTTCACGAGGAAGTATCTATCCTTAAAGGCATGGACGGAGTCCAGGTGCGTTCTAAATAACTTCCTCGGCTGTTTGAAGGACACCCAGTTATGCTACCCACGTGAAGATTTCCACTGAAGATGGAAAAGACGAAAGAACAGTGGGAGTGTGGCGCCGATATGAAGGTGCTGGCACACGAGCTCGAAATCCTGCACGAATGCGACCGCGTATGGATGGAGCTAAGAGGGTGCCAACTCCAACCATTGGAATATCCTCATCTGAAATTCATTGAAGGGCAAACGAAGCCCTGCCTCCCGGAAGACGAACTCATACATACGGAAGATCATCCCCTCGTATGTTAAGCATATCTGATCCATTTCCTTTGGCTTGTAGATCTCCCAGTTCACAGAGGGGCCTTCCTCTAGGTTCTCGAGGGTCGTCAAAAGCATCTGAGTCGTAAAAAATAAAATGTGAAGCAATGTCTCGGGTTCTTTCCCGACCCAACCCAACTGTGGTTCAGTATCTATGTTGGCCAAGTTGGCATCAGCATTTGTGTCAACCAAGTTGACTTCGACATGTGCGTTGAGCATAGCAGTGTCCTCGGGCTTTTAAGCCATTTAACATGAAAAGCAGAGGAAAACAGTGAATTTGATGTTGAGTTCAAATCCACTTTTCCACTGCAAATCAAGTGAAAGGGCGAGGAAAAGCTCGAGGACACATCCTCGACTAAAGCCCTTGTCGAAAAGCGTGTAGTCATGAGGAACTTCTCCTCGACACAAGACATGAAGCCTACTCCACAGGGAAGGGACTCCTCGATATGAGAGTTCCTTATCAGAAACTTCAAAGGGAAGAAGCCTCCTCGACACGAGACTTTTTCAGAGTTTCTACACCCCCGTGAGGAGGAAGTATCCCCGACACTAAGCCCAGCGAAAGTTAAAGAACTTTCGAGCTTCATCGGAAACTTCATGAGTTCCTCATAAATCTCATCGAAAACTTCATGGGTTCCCCGAAACTTCATGAGTTCCGTGGAAACTTCATCGAAAACTTCATGAGTTCCCCGGAAACTTCATGAGTTCCTCGGAAGCTTCATCAGAAAATTCATGAGTTCCTCGGAAGCTTCGACGGAACTCCATGAAGTTCAACAGAAGTTCAAGAACACCAGTGGAAAACTCATCAAAAAGCCGAAAAACGCATAACTTCATCACAAAGTTCATGAGCGTAGAAGAACACACATTCCTAAAACTACAGTCTAAGACTAATCGCTATCATACAAACTGAGAAAGGAAAGAATGGCTTACTTGGATGAAGAAGACGTTGGGAATCTACGATGAAGGAAAGACGGTTGACGGCGACGATGACGACGAGCAAATGTAGAAGAGAAGCAAAACTTGAGGAATTCTTGAAGTGCTTGAGTACTGTGAGCATAGCAAACGAATCCCTTCTCCTCATACTTATATTCGCTGGCATGCAAAACGAATCATTGCCTAGACCCTCAAGTATCCCTACTCGTAGGCCGTCAGACGCATTTATCATCTCTGACACGTGGCTCAAAAGACGTCACACTTGTTGTTTCAAGCCCTATCACACGGCTCGAGGGAATAACGTGTCCGCTTCTCCCACTCCCATAGTGTGTCGCGAGCACGTTCTCGGCGAGAAGTTTAAAACAAATTATGTTGTCGAGCAAGATAACGACCTCAGCCCCTCGCAAACACATAGCCTCGAGATAATCGCGAAACTGAATCTTATCATTGACCACACATGGACCTCGCAGGCAGGAACTCCGAAAAATCTTGTCCATGATCGCTCTGTCGGGCACAAGGAGCGACTTCCAGACTTCCTCTCGAGCGTAGCTCTGTGAGCTCGCAGCCGCGAATCTGAACAAACACTTTACTCGCGCGGATTTCCTTCATCCCTCTTCGACATACGAACTGACTTTAAGTCATTACTCCCTTGATTGGGAGCAACGACGTGGGGGGCTTCTGTTCTGGACTGGGCCTAGGGCCAGCCCACCTCGGGCACAACCTAGTTCATCTCTACGTCGAGGAGGGCCCAACACAGGCTCAATCCTCCATAGTCGTTGGAGGCCACGTTCTTTGCACGTTCTCCACATGCTCCTCATGCGGGGACACGTCCCCGACTGAACCCACGCCCTCGAGAACAAGTCATCCACTTTCCGGAGTTCGTGGGGCAGTTGACCAGGACGAAGATCACGTGTTGGTCTTCCCTACTTTCACGTAGGATCCGGGCAGTCATCCGTTGTAGGCCTTACGATCCAGCCCACAGCAGATGACCGTTGGCCCAGCACTTGGGGCACATTATAAATATCGTCCTCCACAGGAAGGTCAGGTATTCTAAGTTCATTTTGTACTTGCTCTCTCTTTTCATTCAGAACCTCACTTTGGCATCAGAGTGTCTTGCAGGTGCACGCCCTCCTCTTTTCCATCACTGACGAATTTGGAGCTCACGACGTGTTGCTGGCCGCTGATTGAACTTTTGATCCCGGTAAGATAAAAAAGAATCATGCGAGGACACGAAACTTCATTTGAAGATTTGCTAAGAACATACTCCTTACAAAAGACAACCTAATGAAGAAAGGCATCAGGTTTGATAGCTCTTGTTCTTTTTGCTCCTCTTTTGTTGAGTCTGCACAACATATCTTCCTTGATTATGAATTTGCAAGGAAAGTATTTTTCTCCTCTATTTTAGCTATAGGACTCTAGACAATGTGCATATAAATGATTGGCTGACCAACATTCTGACTTGTGGAGATCTCTTGAGTTCTCAACTTCTTTGTTTTATTCTTCACAAGATTTGGCAGGTGCGAAATAACCTCCTCTACCAGCAAAAGCACACGAAGCCTGTCAAAGTAGCTGCAAATGCCCTTGATTTCGTGGCTGAATTCAATGCTTTGAATCCTGGGTCAAATGTTAAGAAAAGTGAGAATGCGTGTTCTGCTGAATTTCATGTTTTTGAGAAGATAAACATAATGCATGTGGATGTGGGCTGCCAGTTGAATGAAGTTGTGTCTTTTGATTGCATTATCAAGAATCCGGAGAAAGCCGCAATTCTTGAATCCGAAGAAAGCCGTCATTCTTGTTGCGAGCAGAAAGGAGGTTATTGTTGTTGCCCTTAAGGTTGCTGAGATTTTAGCTATTCGTTGGTCCCTCTCCTTAGCCAAAGACCTAAAGCTTGATAGAGTGATTGTCCAATCTAATTCTATTATTAATGTAGATTTAATTAACAATGTCATTTCTAACGCAATTTTGGAGTCTATAATTGCAGATTGTCGCGTTATCAATGCTTTTTTTTGTTGGTTCTATTATGTTTCTTAGTAGGTTATCTAATTTAGATGGCCATAACCTAGTTGGTTTGGAAAAATTGTATGGTTTCAATATCTCGATTGGTAGCTCCCCTCTTTTGGAGCCGTTGTTGTTTTCCGTCCTTTTGGGCATGTTTAATGATATAACTTTACCGTAAAAATTTAAAAATAAAAAAAAAATTGCCATGCGCAAATTCTTCTTTGCTCACTTTCCACCAATCATATTTCCAGACATCAATTTTTACTTGATTTGAACAATGGGGAATTCATCTGAGGAATTTAGCCACAAAATGTTCTACTAAAATTATATGGGTATTTGAAACAGAAAAATCAGCCCCTCCCCAACAATATCAAACAAACATCAAAATACCAATATCCCACAAAATAACCCCATATATCATATCATAGGAATCAAGCTATCCTTTGCACATCTTGTGCTTAGTATAGATTCTTATTTTGCATTTTTTTTTTAAGTGTATTTGAAGAAATAAACCTTGTAATCATGTAACATGTGCAATTACTTCAAAAATTGCCTGGGCTTACAATTATCGAGTCAAAATATACAAAATGTGGGTGGCAAAGTCATAGCTACCTTGCTAAATGCACGTGAAGCAGATGAAACATTATCTGTAATAGAAGCCACCCAGAACCTAATACAATAAAAATTTGAGAAACTACAATTCAATGGAACACGAAAGGTCTCGCCCATTTCATGAAAATATTGCCCCTACTTGTACACACTCGTCTCGCCCATTTCATGAAAATATTGCCCCTACTTGTACACACTCTGCGATATAAAATTATTTACTTCAGCTGCTAGCTCATAGGCTCCCTCAACACACCTTCCCAAAGCAACACCAGACACATAGTTGCCCCCAAGGAACAGTCCCTCAAACCCAGTATTGTTTAGAGAAGCTTTAGCAGTATCTAGGAGATCGAGATGCCCAACTAAGAATTGTGGAATAGCTTGAGGCCACAGTCTAACACCCAAAACAAATGGATCCTGAGAATTTGGCTTTATAAGGATTTTTCTCAAATCTCGGTCAACTGCTTCAACAAGCTCACTCTCCGTCTGCCATTAAAAAAAGGCTTTAGGAGTAACTAAAAAGGAAAGAAAGCATTTCTAATAATACAGATAGAGAAACGAAACTTGTTTCATTTTAAAAAAATAAGTAATACAGATATGTAAAATATGTAACAGGAATGAATCCAAGCATATAGGATCAAGAGATGATACCTATAACCCAGAATCACCCATCATCAAGACATGATGAAGTAGAACAACAGCCAATAGTACTCCTCTATGGAAGAGTACTCCTTTGAATAAGATTTCAAATATTCTCTTAGGATCTGTTTGGGAGTTGGTTTTTGGAGGGTTTTGGAAGGAAAGACTTTAGAGGGTTGCGTCTATATCTTAAAATGTGTTTGATATTTTAAAAAATTTTAAAAAACAATATCTTACATTAGCATATAGAATCATATTGTTTTTTAAAATTTTAAAAAATATCAAACACATTTCCAGATATATATGCAACCCTCCAAAAACCAGCTCGCAAACAGACCCTTAGTAACTTGATCTAAAAAAATTATCTGTGCGAAGAAGTAAACATTTGAACAAGATCACTGAACTAGAGTTGTTGGAAACAGTCAAATAACCCAGTAATGAAAATCATTAGTTGTTCTTTACTATCCTTGAAGTTTCCTAAAAAAGAAGGAAAAGAACCTAGCTCACTTTCACCTAATTCGACACCATAAAAGTTCAAGTAATTGCATCTATGTTAGATGTTCATGTTGAATATAAATGTCACACCTTTGATAAAATCTCACAATTGGTGGCCCCTCCAATGTAATTCAAGAGAAGAACCCTTCCAGGTGGTGCTCGGTTAGGGAAAAGTGATGAGCTATATATAGTTCCTGTCAAGTCCACAAATATGTTATCATTACCATACCTGCCAAAACATTACAACACATTCTAAAGTTCATAACTAAAACAAATTTGTGGAGAATTAGTGTCAAACATTTACCTAACGTTTGCACTCCTTGGCTTCGTGGATGCAATTGACCAAATCCCTTCAACTCGCCATCTATCAAGCATTCTGATCTGATGGCTTCTTTTGGATAGGAAATGGAAACTGCAGCGATTGGAGGGTAATAAAACTTTGAAAGTGCATCTGCAGCAGTAGACTGCAAGAGATATCAAAATGTAGTCAGGCATAAATGCCTCAATTTATATTGGCGACTATCATGCCATAAATTGGACATTCAGAAAAGACTTATTTGTTGACAAGCTTTTTTAGTTATTAGTCTCAAGCAAAAAACTATCTCGCAGGGAAATAAGTGATGGGATATCCATATCCTGAAACTGTGGCTTTGAAATAGACATATTTAAGGAACCCAGTGCTATGTAGCTTCTGCTATGTGGGGTCTAAGAAATGGCTGGATGCATTATAGATCCTTTGTATGCAGCCTTCCCTCCCATATCACCACTAGCATACCACTCTTAACCCTAAAATATTATGTTTCCTAAACTTCTCAATGAACAGGGAGCTATAGTTGATATGAAAATACTGGTTTATTAAGAGTTATAGGCATTCACATATTACACAGCCATACACTTATGTATGTGCAGCATGTACGTCAAACTTGTATGTGCCGAACTTGTGTACTGTTCTAGTTTGATTCTGAAAACTGTCTATAGTCTACCTGAGAATCTACTAATTATTAAAGAAACCACAAAAAATTATCCATATTTGTTTTTTGGAAAGACAATAACTCAGTCTGCATGTTTAAGTCAATATTATCCATATGTTGCATAGGAGATAAATATTTTTTCTATAAAATTCAGAGAATGATAAATAGTAATAAGTGTGACCATGGGCACAGAAGCAAACACAAATGCATGTGCATAGACAAAAAACACAAAAAGATGCAAAGAGGCAAAAGACACACAAGCAAATAAAACTAAATACCTACAATATGGTATCAAAATGTGCATGCTTTCACAGAAATTCAATAAGACATATGGTTCATGTCCAAATATTCAACTGATAAAACAATCATCGCATAGACCGTTGATTTAATCCACTTCTAAGAGAAACTTACAGACAAAGGACGCAGCAATGGACTAGCAACATGGGAAGGAATGGTCATGACAACAGTCTTGCTCTGCAAAGAAACAACTCCTTCTGGGGTTTCATATGTCAAATTGTACTCTCCACTATCCAGTTTACTAATACTTAAAAGCTTCCAAGATAACTTCACCTTGTTACCTAACCTGTCAACAGGTTACAGGAACACAATTCACTAGGAAAACCACTCACACGAATACTGGTGAATCAACTAGAACATCGGTATAACACAACATAGAATACCTGGCAGAAATTGCTTCTGGCAACATCGTAAGTCCCTTCCGGAATGATCCAACAGTTTGACCTTTTGGTTTTGGAAGACGCCTGCACATTCTAAGAATCAGTGGACTAACCCATAAATTATGGCAAAATATCCAAAAGCTCAGAGCAAATGTATTTTTACGGATCACGAGGTGGTTTTGAAGCTCCATTTCTCTCTTGTATTGCTTTGAAGGAGCCACCAATAATGCTACCACCATTTTGTTCCAGCCTCCACACTTTCCCGAATGCTGCTTTCATACTTAACTTTGAAGGATCACCAGCATAGACACCTGTATATGACAAAATTCAGCTAAGTAAGATTTCCAATGCCTAAACGGTGATATAGAAAATTCATATCCAGAGAGAAAAGCAAGATGAGGTAAGCTTGTCACTACTTGAAGTAAGTGCTTGTCTAATTGTTGATTTGTCCATGTACTTCAATATCAATTATAAAAGGAAAAATTGGAAGAGAGAAAAATTGTGCACTTATCAAATTAAGACTTAATTAAAATTTTGGCCCCTATAGTTTTAGCTATGTGCGACTTTGGTCCCTTTGGTTTTTTTCGAGTGATTTTAGGCCCTCCATTTTAAAAATTAATCAAGTATGTTTTACTATCAACTGTCTTTCACATTAATACTTTAAAATCATGTTTTTTACAAAAATATTTGGGGCTAGATAATGGATCTGAGATATGAAATATAACCAAAGTTTAAAACTAAAAAATTGAAGAATTACGTGGAATATAAGATTAGGGTTTCAAGAGAAGAAAAATTGAGACTTTATGTTTTTCCTTAAATTTCATATTTTAATTGGTGATTTTCAAGTGAAATAGTGTTTAAAACAAATTGTATTTTTTTAGTTTTAAACAAATGAAAAGGGATGGAGGAGAGACTTGATTTAAAAATTAATAAATAAATAAATACTGTAGACTACTCACTTGGGAAAAAAATTAGAGAGATCAAAATCACACATAGCTCAAGCTACACCTTAAATTAATGTAGTAGATCAAGTTTAAGTATTTTAAAATGCCAAAATCAGCACATGTTATGAGTTATGATGAACCAATTAGAAGATAGTGGAGTTGCTTCATGACAAATTAATCCCATTTCCCCTGGCCCCAACAAACCAAAACAGGAAAATCACGCATTTGGTTCAGTCTTCATGGTGGAGTAAAGGGTCATTACTCCATATTCAGAAAGACACTGAACTGACCCAAAAAGTGTGGCCACCTGTGTTTCAAGTTCCATTCGAACATAGACATACAGCCATAGTGTTTTTTAAAGTTTTCCCAGGCAATTTTTTTGTGGGGGAGATACAACAGAATCGGAAGCACAAACCCCCGAGTCCGGCTTTGCTCCATTTACCATCCTCCATTTACTCCATTTCTTTTTATAGATATGCAACATGTGTCAAAATTAACTCTAACGGTTATAGTTAAAAAAAAAAAATAAAAACAACTTTTATTCTTTTCACATGATCGTTCTATTGTCGGTTCCATCTTTCTTCCTCTTCATGCCCCCATCGCCACCACTACTGGTTCCAACCATCACCCGTGATTCCAGCCACCACCACCGGCTACAGTTGCCACTACTACTGGTCACAACAATTGTCACAGTTAGATTTGATCCTTACTCAATTAAAATAAATTGGATTCTTTTTGTTGATTGAATTTTTTGTTAAATGAAAGAGGATTTAACTGACAACGGTGGCGGTGGTTATAACCTGCTGCTGCAGTTGTGGGAGCGTGAAGAGGCAGGATACATCAGTCATACTTTTATTTATTTTTTATTCACTTAATTTTAATTTTTTAATTATAACCGTTAGATTTAATTTTAACACGTGTTGCAAATCTATGAAATGAAATGGAGTAAATGGAGGGAAGGTAAATGGAGCAAAGCCAGACTCCAAACCCCCCAGGCAAAGTTTTAATCTATGCAAATTTTCAATTTCAGTTTTAAAGTGATGGGTTTGGAAGTGGATTTGAAATATTATTAGGAGAGTCTATGAAACCTCTTATTCTAGTAGGCCAAAAATTAGTTAACATGATGGGTTACATTTTATTGGCCAGTATATTATAATCTAAACTCCTATAGAATACAGAAATCTTTACCAGTACATAATAGTAGGAAGTTGGTTAAAAGGTTGAAAAGAATAACAACAGAGAGAGAGTAGAAAACAGGACAGTATCAAAGATTGGTGGCTCTAACCTGAACAAAAAGGCTCTATCAAGCGTTCAAATACCTCATCTCCAAGATTACGACGCACAAACTCTTCAACCGATTCCTCATAACCCTGTCACCTTCGTCGATATTATATCATATGAGAAAATCCAAATAAGAACACTTGCATTTATTTATTCTTCCAGTTGCATATATTTCATTTGACACTAATAAAATTAAACGAAGGAAAGGGATCAAAAGAGAACACACTGGAGGAGGAGGGCGAATTCCAAGTGCTCCAAATCCAGCCCTTAGCTTCCCACCAATGCTCATTAAGTCAAAGAAAGGCAAATCAGCCGGCTTTCCCGGTACCGGCCTCAACTTCCCATTCCACAACACAAACCTAGGTGCATCAGGATCACCCAGAACAAGTTCGTCCTTCAAACCACTGTCCACCTACCAAATGAAACAACCAAAACCACATTACCAACATGTGCCAAACAGTGTCAATCTCTTCTTTGAATGTTTCAAAATTACAAAAACATATCTACGATTGTCTTCCAATATGAAGCACGGACATTGGAAACACGACACCGACGTTGATAGGTTGGACCAATAATAATTTGAAAAGACGAAAAAATTAAACATAACCATAAGTGTTGGTCTCAGTTTCGGACAAGGACCCTGACACTAATACATTCAAGGACCAACCCTTAAATTAAACACTAAATTAAACATAACCATAAGTGCGGAAAAACTCTTTTTTCAGAGGTATACTAATTTACTAAATACACATTCAGCTACCAAACTAGCTAACAAAAGACATATTTAGATTTCGTATATCTTCATGGACTATGGTGATACCATTAACACTCATACATTCAAGGACCAAAATGAAATCTACTCAACAAAATTGAATTTCAACCAATTGCATGCACCTACATTACAAATGAAGCTCTAAAGAGAAAGAAGAGATTAATTACTACTTACCACCATAGTGAGCATAGGATCGGAAGGTTGAAAGCTGTTAGGACCTTCTTCCCACAGATAACCATCCCTCTCAACGGTGATGATATTGCCACCAACTCTATCTCGAGCCTCGGTGACAACAACATTGGAGACACCATCAGCGTGTTTGGTAGAAAGAGCCTGAGCGATGCAGAGGCCGCTGATGCCACCACCAACGACTACACAGTCAACGGGGGAGAGGTCTCTGGCGCGGGAATCTGTTTTGGTCGGAGATGCAGTGGATTTGGAATCCTCGGCAATGGAACAACGGAGAATAGGGTTCCGGTGATTACGAAGGAATTTGGATTTAGAATTGGATGAATGGAAAGGGGATGGAGAATAAAGGTAGGGACGGAGAAGGGTTTGAGGGGTGAGTGTAACCATGGCGGGTGAAGAAAAAGAAAGGAGGGTGAAGGAGTAACGAATAACGAGCTAGCTATATTTCGTTATCTTGAACAGAACCAATACAATATCATTGCACCGGATAGGTCCAATTTCCGTGCTTGCTTCCAACTTGCAATTACCTCTTGCACAATGCAATGCACCAACCACTATTTACCAAGCTTGTGTTTAGAAAATAAATTTTTCCTTTACTTTTCTGGGTACTATTTTACTTATTTTATATAAAATTTCATTAATTATACTTTGACTCTTTCTAACATTTTTTATTATTAATTATTATTTAATAACTATGCAAGTAAAAATACTAGTTTTTCAATCATTTATGATAGAACATGAAATTTCTTAAATAGAATTATGAGTAAGATATATTATTTTATTTTGGTTAGACTTTTATTTTAAAAAATGGTTGTTTATTTGGGTTTTAGGACTTTTTATCTCATAATTCATTATTGGTTTTATATATGTTAGAGAGATTTGAAGCTATCAATCAAATGAAAAGTGTTATTTTAAATTTCTTAGATATCTTTTATTTATTGTTCTTCCTCTTTTATATTAAACTTCTAGTTTCATAGCTTTTTGATAGAAAAATTTCATTCATTTCGATCACATTTTCGTTAAATGAGATTGAACTTTTATGGAGTAAAAGAAGTATATTGGTGGATCTTTTTCACTGAAAAATATTTTAGAGCCAAAAATATTATGAACGATGAGGATAAGATGATGTTGGCCGCATTGGCAATGAGAGGTTATGCTCTTAAATAGTGGCAATTGTTGGGTTGGTTGAAAATATACATATTGAAAAAATCTCACGTCGCTTAGTTTTGTGAATGAAGAGAGAGTTCAAGGTTATATATAGGATACAAGTTCTTTGAAGTTCCACATTACTTAGTTTTGTGAAGGAAGGGGGGGTGTTTCAATGCTATATATAGGATTCAAGTTCTTCATTCCAAGATGCACTAATCAAAAACACTTAAGTTTGTATTTGACTTTATTTATTCTCTTATACTCTTGTATAAGAGTGTTCTGAGATGTAGTTAAATATTTGTTTTAGATTGTGTGGGTGTATTAGAGGCCTAGGTTAGTTTAGGGTGTATTATGTGTTGTAATTTTCACATAATGTTATTCACTAGTTGTCATTTGACAATGGTCGTGGTTTTTTCTCCGATTTTAGAGTTTCCACGTTATATTCTTGTGTTGTGATTGTGTTCCTCTTTTTTTCTCTATGCTTTGTTTTTTTTCCTAACAACTGGTATTAGAGCTTTTGCTTCGATCTAGGATAAGTGTTCTTAGAATGCTATGTGGTTGCAGTTTTGTCTCATTTTTCACATCAAAAAAGAAGGATAGTGTTGTGAAAAAGTTGTTGAGCTGCAGTAAAAAAAATTTGTTGTGTAGTTTGGACTAGAGAAAATTGATACAAGAATTTTTTTGACTTGTGGAAAGTTCAAGTCAAAGATGTGTTGAGACAATCAAGATTACATAAGGTGCAAGATTATGTCGGTGGTTGAAGAACTTTCTGCCAACAAGGAAGTTGCACCATAATGTTTCAACCTGGTTTTCAACATGTAAAAATTCTTGAAGTGGTTTAGCTTCAAGTGAAGTATACTCTTCTTTAGGTGAAGTATGATAGTTTTTTAAAACTATGATTGTCGGTGAAGACAATGCAAAATTCTTGGAGTGGTTTAGTTTCAAGTGACTATACTCTTTATGGTGAAGTATGATTGTCGGTGATAACAATATAAAATTCTTGAAGTGGTTTATCTTTAAGTGACATATATTTTTCATGAGAGAGTATGATAGTTTTTAAAATTTGATTGTCGGTGAAGATAGTGTAAAAATTCTTGAAGTGGTGTAGCTTCAAGTGACTATACACTTTATGGTGGAGTATGATTGTCGATGAAGATAATGAAAGTTTATGTATTATTTTCAATCAAGGTGCAGATTGTTAAGGTTGGTTGAAAATATACATGTTGATACTCTATATGGTGGAGTATGATTGTCAGTAAAGACAATGAAAGCTTATATATTATTTTCAATCAAGGTGGAGACTGTTGGGTTGGTTGAAAATATATATGTTGAAGAAGTTCCACATCACTTAGTTTTGTGAATTAAGAGAGTGTCCAAGGCTATATATAGGATACAAGTTCTTTGAAGTCCTGTATTACTTAGTTTTTGAAGGAAGGGGGAGTCCAAGGCTATATATAGGATTCAAGTTCTTCATTCCAAGATGTATCAATCAAAAGCACTTTAAGCTTGTATTTGACTTTATTTATTCTCTTATACTATTGTATTAGAGTGTTGTGAGATGTAGTTAAATATTTGTTTTGGAGGGTGTGGGTATACTGAGGGCATGGGTTAGTTGAGGATATATTATGTGTTATAACAATTTTCACATAGTGTTATTCTCTGATTGCCATTTGACAACGGTCATAATTTTTTCTCCGGTTTTGGAGTTTCCACGTTATGTTCTTATGTTGTGATTGTGTTCCTTTTTTTCTTTATGCCTTGTTTGTTTTTTTCCAACAACGGTGATATCAATACCATCCATCGATGTCTTGGAATATATTCACAGAGGTGTTTCTTTGGCGCTTCAAACCTGAATGAAGACACCTTTTTCTAGATTTAGATAAGGAAATTTAGCCCATTTTACCGGTGGATGATGAAGAAGAGAAGCCACACCAAGAACTTCAACTTTTACATACGAAACACGATGAAGAAAAACATGTTGCAGGTATAAACTACAAACTTACACTTAGGGATAAATCAGAATGCGAGTTGCTTCTAATGTTAAATACTTCAAATACTTCAGTCATAGTCTCTTCCAACATTACCAATTTCAAAAATGAATTTTTACACAAGCCACTATCTTTTATTCAAAACCCTAACTTCCTAAATTCCCTTCAGCATCCCTCGTTAACACTTTTTGTGCCCTGTGTTACGAGTTCTTCTCCAAAAACCATTTTTTTAAAGCAAAACAACAAGATTTGGACACCCATATTGTTCTAATCAATTATGACGAATCACGGTCGTGGCATCTTCTCTCATGCATCCAACAATTTATGATGCATCACTGTTCATCGTCCCTAAGACATATTTTGACACTAACTTCTCGTGTTACTTTTTTCTGACACTTCCTCCATTATTGGGTTCTTCACCACAACTTTCTAAGAAACCCCTTTACAATATAGTTGATGATCATGGTATCGTTACTGGGGTTTTAGCAATTATCGACACAATCAATTTATTAAGTATAAACCGCAATTTTGTAATCATATACACAACTTACGATCTGGATCATTCTTCATGCTTTATGAGCTTTAACACTATAAGCAATATCAAGGAAAGTATTATAGTACTTCTCATGAATTAGGGAAAACTATCCAAGATAAAGTCACAATTGCCATCCAAAGAGACAAGTCAACCACGGTTTTTGAATGATGGAATTTTCGGAAGACCAACCATGTTGGTTAAAATCAACAAACTACTTTAAAGATATTCAGGAATAAGATTTGAAATCATGGAGGAAATAGCAAAATTTATGAACCATATAACATAACATCGTGTCTTTCATTAAGAAGCACAATCATAGCCTTAGGTGACTTAGTTCCTTTATCATATGTTGCTGGCCTTTTAATTGGAAGACCGAAATCAAAATCTATTGGACCTGGTGGAAAAATTCTCAATGCTAAAGAGGCTTTTCATATAGCTGGAATCAAAACTGGTTTTTTTGAGTTGCAACCTAAATAAGGTTTGGCATTGGTGAATGGTATTTTTGTAGGATCAAGTTTGGCTTCATTGGTTCTTTTTTAGACAAATTTAATTAATGTCTTATCAGAACTTTTGTCGGCAATTTTCGCTGAGGTTATGTAAGGAAAAACTGAATTCACTTACCATTTGACTCATAAGTTGAAACATCATCTTGGTCAAATTGAGGTTGCTACTATAATGGAACGTATTTTAGATGGAAGTTATTACGATAAGGCTACACAAACATTTCATGAAATTGATCCACTCCAGAAGACTAAACAAGATAGGTGCGTGCTTCGAACTTCGCCTCAATAGCTTGGACCGCAGATTGAAGTGATTTGACATGCAACAAATATAATTGAGAGGAAGATAAATTCAATGAATGAAAATCCACTTATTGATGTTTAAGGGAATAAGGCACTACATGGAGGAAATTTCCAAGGTACAACAATCAACGTTTCCATGGATAACAATTGTTTATCCATTGCTTCAACAGGGAAACTCGTGTTTGGGTAATTCTCCGAGCTTGTGAATGGTTTATACAACAACAGATTGCCTTCGAACCTAACCTTAAGCCGTAATCCGAGTTTAGGTTACGACTTCAAATGATCAAAAATTTCAGTGTCATCCTATTGCTCAGAACTTTAAGACCTTTCTAATCTTATCATTACTCATATTCTAAGTGTCGAGAAGTATAACCAATATGTTAACTGCTTATGCTTGATTTCATCAAGAGAAACTGCAAAAGTAATTGAAATATTGAAAATCTTGTCATTAACTTACTTAGTTGTATTGTGCCAAGAAATTGATATGAGACACATATAGGAAAAATTGAAAAATGTAGTGAAGGAAATTGTGAGTCAAGTGGCTAACAGAATTCTCACAGTTGGTGTAAATGGTGAGTTTCATCCATCAAGGTTAGGCGAAAAGGATTTGCTCAATCAAGTTTTGGCATCTTTATAAGCAGAGATGCAATCAGATTAGAAGTAGGCAGTTGTCATACTCTAAATTTGTCCGTCGACTTTTGTAAATATTTTCGCTTTTTTTTATTTTGTATTTTTCATTTAATTTCATGTCATTTAGACACGTGTCCACCCCGATTGGGCGTTCTTCAAATCTCGATTTTTTTTTTGCCCAATGAGAGCGCGACACGTGGCCTAAGGATATTTTCGTAAATTTTAATTATTTTTATATTTCTCTTTTCCTTATAAATATTAATATTTTGTATAGGTTTTTGT